TAGTTTTCAAAATTCAAACTTCAAACCATGTCGCTACTCTCCTCTCATGAAATATTTCTACAGTACATCCCTGGGCACAAGGGCATTAGAGGCAATGAGGTGGCAGACCGGGCAGCAGCGGAAGCGCATTCCCTGCAGTACCGGACTATAACTGCCATCTCAAAGGAGGAACTGGCAAGACAGTTGAATATTAAGATGATGTCAAAGTGGAACAGTTGCTGGCTGAACAATATTAGAAATTCAGGGAAGGGCCTCTTCATTAGCTTAATCAAAGGGGAAGTGGGTGATTGGCCATGGGCCCTCAACAAAAATCGTGCTGTGGAGACGGCCCTGGCCGGACTGCGCACTGGTCACGCTGGAGTGAAAGCACACCTAGCTTGTTTCAACATGGTTGACAGCCCCTTATGTACCTGTGGGTCTCCAGAAACCATTCATCACCTGCTGCTGAGTTGTCCAATTCATGCCTCTGCCCGTACTAATCTTACCAATGCATTAACTGCACTTAATGTTCCAGTCAATTTAAGGAATCTGCTGGGAGGAGGTCCTTTTTCTGATGTCATCCAGGATGCAATTGTTAATGCAGTTGCCTCCTTTCTAACTTCAACTAATATGCTTCAGGTACTTTGATACAAAATTTGTTACTGGCATAGTCATTAGGTACTCTAACCCTGAGTAGAATAAATTCACCTAACAATTGTGGGAACTAACAATCTAAATTTAAATTCCTTCCCACACTCAACTGAGTGCTTTGCTAATGGAAAGAACAGCACTCCATGCAGTTTTAATAGATTTAGGAATGACTAGTTTATGTAAGTAGGGACTGCCTTTTGTGAGGAGTGCTGTTCTTGCCCCACTTACTAAGCCTTCCCTAGCCTCAGTCATAACCCCGCCCACAGGAGATTGTGTTTTGTTAAGTTGTTTTGCAATCAAAGTTAATCTTTCTTGATATGGCTGTTGAGCCAAGAGAAGCTCCAGGCTGCCCCCACCCAGGCTGGACCTTCAGCTAGCTTAAAGATCTCATGTGTGGCGCAAGTTAGGGCATGGTTGTGACAACTAATACTGGTTTTGATCTTGAATTGTTAAAAAGAATACTTGCCTGATGATTGAATATAGTGGTAGCACCCAAATTTTTAACGTTTGGTGCTGAATTGCTTTATTTATTTATTTTTTCTTAGCTCATGTGTATATAGATATGCTCCACAGGTCTGCACTCTGCAGTGTTCCACGGCAGACCTGTGGAGTGCGATGCGTGCCACGTGTCTTATCCTCTTCAACGGGTTTGCCGTCCATGCTATGTTGTGTTATTGCATTTTATATTTTATGGTTCTGTTGTTATATAATTTTTTTTTAAATTATATTTATATATTTTGTTCTTATTTCAAATTATTATCCTTTTTTTTTCTTTTCATTTATTTTATTTTTGTATATACCGTATATATATTTTCATTTATTTAATTTTTATTATTATTTTAATTTTATTTTTTTTTCATTAATTATTTTCCTTTTAATTTTCTTTGTTTTGTTATTTACTCCTAATATTTATTTCTTTCATTGCTTCAATTTTAACGCTTATGTTTAATTTTTGCACAATTGTGTATTTTTTCTTATTATTATTGTTATTATTATTGTTATTATTATCATTATTATTATTATTTGTTTTGATTTTTTTTTCCGTGTGTGTGTTCTCTCTTTGTTTCAGGTTTTCACTCTCAGAGCTGTTAAAACAGTTAGGTACCAATTAAACCTAGTTTAGGCAAGGGGCTATATGGACTAGTTTCCAGTGCTCCTATATGAATAAATAAGAAAGAAAGAAAGAAAAGCATTTCCCAATAGGTACCAGCATAATTTTCATACTTCACTCCGTGCGCAAGCATGCTGCAGAGCAAATTAGCCAACATGGTTACATGCTTAAAGCCACAGGGACCAAATCCCTTCATGGATGTAAACCAGCAAGCCAATGAGCTGCAAGCCGCCAAAACAATGGTCGTAACCCACACGCTAACACGCTAAACCCCAAAATATTTCTATTCCATGCAGCCTAGCCCCTTCCCCACTTTTAATAAAGAACGCCCTGCGCCACAGTGCTATCAGTACACTGCTACTTCTCCAGCCTGTCCGTTCTTCTGGAGGCTAAACCTCCACGCTTACCCTCTGCTCCCCCTCCTTTCGGTACCAGCTTGCGGAAGAATTCTAACCTAACGTCCTAACCTAACCCTTTTGCGGAAAGGTGGAGAGAAGGGTGTAAGTGTGGAGGAAGAAGATGCTGGTGAGCGTCAGGGCTGGGCTTATGCCTGCAAAGTGGGTAAGGTGATGCGACAGTCTGGTGCGGGGCTGTTCCCATTTACTGCAGTCTGGTGCGGTCTGCGGACCCTGTGGCTTACAGCATTTGTAAGAAGTGATGGTATGGGCTTAAATCATTGGTGTAGGAGCTATTGGGCGTAATCTGTTTGGAGTATCAGCTTGTGGGCTGAGGCATTGCTTGTTTCAAGCTGGTGTGGTGAGATGAGGCAAGTAAGAACAGCTGCATAGGTGTTAGGCTGACTATTTCTATTGCATGTAGAGCCAGTAGAGGGTTGGCATTGGCTCTTGGGCTGATTTAAGAGTCAAATTTTTGGGCTACGGCAGCGCTCCCTCTAGGCCGTGGGTCAAACCAGCCCTCGGTCGAACGGCCACTTGTCGAAGAACGATAAATTTTGGAACAGAACTATGCTATCTGAAACCTAACCTCAGATGCGGTGAACGTAAAACGTAATTTAACGATGCCTGGAAGTCATATTCGATCTGATCATCAGTGGCCTGGTGGTGCATGGCAAGTGGTGATCAAAGCCGGAAGAGGACAAAGCCCAGTGGTGCACTCACGGCTGATTGATGTAGGTCCGGAGAGATCAAAGGCATTCAATCCAGGGTTTATTGGTGCACAAAATTGGTGGTGCACAGCTGCGCTTCCATTTAAGTAAATATTTTTTACAAACAGTTTACTTGGCGCTAACTCTGAGGCTGCGCCGCTACGGCCAGACTAAGAGCATTTGCACCAACGCAGACCAATGCTTTCAAGCAGAGCGGCATCGAGCGACGAGCAGCACGTATAGTGGGCCTTACTGGCCACACAAGATGCTGGACTGTGAGGAGTGCAGATGAGTCAGTCAGTCAGTCTTGTGTGAAATGGTAGCAAGTGAGGAGCTTTTCTTGCTTGAGTGCTCATATAGTCATATGCTAATGCATTAGAGGTACAGTACATAATACTTGCTTCTAGAAAGAGATAAAATTGGCATTCATGCTATTAACAGTGCCAGTTCAGAGTATGGAGAATAAAATCATCTGTTCTCTGATCTGCGCAATAGCCCAGAAAGATTCAAAGAATACACAAGAATGAATGTGGCTATATTCAACGAGCTCCTTAGCTTGGTGATGGAGGAGGTATTCAAACAAAGCACTAATTTAAGATTTTCAGGCCCTTGATCTCCCCAGAAGAAAGGCTTGTTGTGACAAACATTGCCAACATTTTACACAATTCAATCATTTCCAATCATTTTGTTTCTTTTTCTTCAGGCAATAAGTTATACACCATTTCTTGAACTTTAATTTTGAATAGACACTGTTTTTTTCTTTGTCATGCTGTGCATAGAGGGTATAAAGCTCTGTAAAAAGAGAGTAGTCACCTGTTGCAGTTTTCCTATGAGGTATTCAAATTTTTATTTTTCTAATTGTAAGAAATTATCCATGCAAAGTCATTTCAAATTTTCCTTTTTTTCTTCAGAGCCTCCTTTGAGAGCTCATAAACACTGTTTGCAATTCCAGAATGCGCCTTTGAAATAATGACTCCGAAATTCAGGATTTTAACAAAATCCATCAAGACCAGCAGGGGATAATGCTGTAGAAAAAAAAAACTAAAGTACTTACAGCTTTTTTGGATGACCTCTTTTCTCTATAGTCCATAACATGATTCTTGTTAGGGAGAAATCAATATAGACATAAGACATGGCATTTACATGATGTAAATGCCATAATTACATCAATGGAATTGAACATATTGAATGATCAACATGAAACTATAATTGCTTCTGTTCATAGAAACAGCTCTAGAATTTTAACATATGTTAAAAAAATTAAAAAGTTATTGCATATCAGTTGCAGGAAAAGTTGCTTGGCAGTATCATATGCTCTAAATAAACAATAAGAATATCCTAGTACTTAGGGTGCTAAGTTCATTCACTTCTATTTCTTTATTCAATAAAAGAAGTCAAAATGAATGTATTTTTACTGTTCTTCACAGTTCTTGCCTGAAATATTTAGTGCATCACCTATCATAGACTACTGGTTCCTGATGTATGTTCTATCACTGTGCTGTGGGTGATAGGCATCCCAGATTGTGGGTCAATTGGGAAGAGGTGCCTCAATTGGGAAGGGCTATGATTTTACATCTATCACTCATGGCTGCTTGAGGGACACAGTACGCACCAAGCAGCATCAAAATATATGTCTGGAGTAATATTATTTTTCCACCGCACAGCGTCTGTCTGCTTGATGCAGCTTTGGCCTGTACGCGTTTAGTGTGGCCACTCTGGTAGAAATACATATATATAATATTGAAGTTTAAGCAAGCATCAGCCTGCGTCAGTGCAAATGCTTTTAGTCTGGCCGTAGCCTAAGCCTTCAACTAAGAATTTGGGATTTTCATTACAGTTGATAAGTAGTGGAATAATAGAAGCTTAAGCTAAATAGCAAAGAATTTCTCCTGCAGAGTGAAATGTGAATGGCTTAAGTGTTAACTAGTTGAAAAGTCAGAAAAATTCAAAATTATCATTTCTACGGTATTTGGAAACTTGAATTTGTATAGCAATAAAAATTTATTTATGAATTCATGAAATCCTATGAATTCTACAAATTAAATATATTTTAGAGGTTGAATTTATTATTATAAGGCTTGGTGCACTCTAGAATGAACTATTAAATATGGTACCTACCTAATTTATTTGAGTTTTTTTCTTACCAAATTGCAGAAATTTTTATATCAATTCTTTAGGTAATAGGAATCATAGAGAAAATTGTGATAGATATGGATGTGGGGGGCATCAGCCTGCCCAGTATAATTTATACTGCAGTAGACTTGGGTGAAGGAGAGCAACTGCAGTCAGATGACTCTGCTGATGTGGTACAGTCAGATGACTCGGCTGATGTTGTACAGTCAGATGACTCGGCTGATGCGGCACAGTCAGATGACTCTGTTGAGGCTGCACAGTCAGATAACTCTGCTGACCTTGCCCAGTCTGACACAACCTTCATGGATGCAGAGGATTTGTCTTACGCAGCGCCTGCAAGCTTGTGCCAGTAAGTTTTTCCCTTTAACATTTATCAGTATTTCAATTTTTTATGATTACTTTGATGAGTGAGCTATATATATATATACAGTTAAAAACTGCACAAAGAACTCAAGGCAATATTGGGTATAACAAAAATCCACAAATTAATAATTTATATATATATAATACCAGTACTTGGCTTCCTAACTTGTTCTGTAGTCATTCCAGACTTATTGTAATGCAATGAAATAGAAAAAAAATGACTACAGATATTCCTTTCATATCAGAGTATACATTTTGCATTTTTTCACTTTTTTTTATAAATTCTTGGACACTTTTTTGGTCATTTTTTTCACATCACTGCTAGAGAACCAAAATTTACTGAGGATTTTTCTAAATATTTTATGTTAGCCCAAGCTAAACTGTAACTTTATTATTAATTTCAAATTTGCTGTTAATTTAATTTGCATTCTGCATTCCCTCAAAGTGAAATATAAAAAGAACCCACATTAGTCATGGAAATTTGTTTTCTTGTCAAATTATATCTAGACACTGTATGTTTTTTAAGACTATAACTTCATGTTTAATGTTAATTTTGGCATAAAACAACACAAAAGCCCATGGAACCATTTTAGAAATATTAGTCATTACTAAAAGCTTACACTGACGTGTGTGAAATGAGATAAGCCCAGTCTATAGACTTATGTCTGTTTTGTCATGTTTCCAGTTCATAATTTAGCAGTTTAGCTCATTAAATAGACTCAACAAGAGAATCTTGACATACTCAACAAGAGAATGCTAGTTATGAAGATATAAGATCAAACTCTCAAGATTTATTTTACCTCTAAAGGCAAAATGCACTCAGAAAAATTTGTGGTATACCCTAAATGGTTCGGATTAGACTTTTTTGGTATTTAGTATCATCTTAAAGCTGACATTCTGCCCTATCCAACGGTACAACTGCGATCTGTATGTGAATTTATACGTTTATGACGGCTCTTTAAAGGGAGGCGGGTGGGAGAGTTCTTTAAGTATTTAGATCGGAACTAATTAGCTGCTGAGATCTTTAAATATAGTGGCTACTTGTGTTGTGCTGCAGTTACGTGTTTAGTCTCGTCTTAAAGCTGACATTCTGAGCTATCCAACGGTACCAACGGTACATCAGCATTAACGTACACGACTGCTCTTTAAAGGGGGGTGGGGAGGGGGGAGGGGTTACTTCAGTAATTAGATAGGGCAAAAATAGCCGGCCAGCACTACATATATGGTGTTGTCTGGCACCAAACTTTAGTTACCCGCCTTGCTTTGTACAGAGAGGTGCACTGCAAGATGCTGCCACCATCCTTGAGTGGAATTAAGCTATAGAAGCCTGTAGTTTGGTATCCATGCTACATTGAGTGCCTATTGCGATGCGCGCGGGACTTTTTCATGCTCTCCTGAACATTCACACTTCTTGTCACGGAAAACCTATCTCCTCCTAGAGTTTTGAAGCTACAGCAATAAGACATATACCATTCGATTCGTAAAGACCATACCTATCGAGTAACGAAGCCCTTTTTTTAGATTTGTGCATAGTTTGGATTCAAAATGGGGGGAAATCTGAATAAAAAAAATGGAAAAATGTGTGTAAAAAAACTAAGGCAAAAATAAAAAATTGGGCTTTGTTACTCGATTGGTATGGTCTTTACGCATTGAATGATATGCGTCTCTATATTGTAGCTTGAAAACCATAGGAAGAGATCGATTTTTACAGTACAACCTTTTTTGTCTATTTTCTATGAATTTCATGTTTTCTATAAATTTTTCTGAAAAATCACATAAACAAAATGTGATTCTTTTGCGGTTTTACATATATGTGTGAAGTTTCAGAAAGATCCGTCTGTGAACGAAAAAGTTTTTCCGGAGGGTATACCCCCCCTTAAACATAGGTTTTTTCTAACACAGGTTTTTTAAATGGCTTTCATTTCTTTTTTAATTTTGCATAATTTAGCTTCCTAACTGAAAAGTAATAGCATTGCAAGTCTGGCAATTTTTGATTACACACAATGGAAGTTCTTGTGAGGTTTGGTACCAATTTCACAGTGGTTAGTGTGGTCTTCACATGATATGAGCAAAAAACTGGAATTAGTCTGTGGCTATATATTTTCAGTATTGACTGCAATAATATTATCAAAATTATTTTTTTATGTGTCATAAGAATTGTTATTTGAATTTTAATACTTAAAAATTATTGTCCTTGAGTTGCCTCTAAATTAAAGTCAGTATTTGTAAAATCTGTTAAACATTTATCTTCCAGCTGTAAATTGGATCGGACTTTATGAAATGAATATGTTGCATGTTAATAATACTCATGGAAATATTTATTAATAATTAATATTTATTATTTATTAATATTTAATAATATTTAATAATTTTATTAATATAAAATTATTAATTTATTGTATTATTACCTTCTCATTATTACTTGTCCCTTGATTGTATTATATACAGCGGTGCAGTAGACGATGAGTCCTGCCAGTTCCTGCTGGATGCCACCTCAGACAATGGTAGCTGCACTCCTTCACCTGCTGCTCCTGTCTATGGTCTCCTGCATCACCATCATCCACTAGCTTCCTTCAACCAACACTCTGCTGCTAATATTTCCCCTGGTATTTATAATATACATCAACCTTCAAATTTTGTCTAGAAATATGGAAGATAAATTTTTTCATCAAGGCTTATATCAATCCCTCCATGTTCAGCTTATTATGTAATATCTCTTCAAGCCATATTCAAGCTGGGTATATACGATTCCATGATTTGTGTGTTACACTCTGTGCAGAGTTTTCTACTATATTAAAAAATCATTACAATGTTTACCTTGGTATTCATAATATAGTTTCTTAGTTTAGATGTCTGATTTTGTTGAACTCATTATATTAAAGTTTTATCTGCAATAATTTTGGCTTTGCTTAAACAAAGATCATCTTTACCTCTGGCTTGTTCTTGTTACAGTTGGAAACAAAGCTGTTATATCCTCTATTATTATTATTTACAGTTATAGAATGATATATATCTATAGGTATATATTATATCTTATTATATAAGTCACTGCTTCAAACAGAATATGCACATATTTTCTGTCATTTTACTCACAGCTTTGAAGAAAGAGCACATATATAGTTATTTACCTTTCTTGTTGTAATTCCCAGCTGGAAAAAGAGGGTTTTTATCTCCTCTTGGCAATTCCACAAGATTGCTGTTACTGTTTGTGAGAACCTATGAATGACTCTTGTGACCACTAACCTAGTAATACATCATGCACAGAGCTGTGCAGAATTGTGCACCACTAACCTAGTAATGCATTGTGTGCAGAGCTGTACAGAATTGTGCACCACTAACCTAGTACCTGTAATACATCATGCACAGAGCTGTGCAGAATTGTGCACCACTAACCTAGTAATGCACCGTGTGCAGAGCTGTGCGGAATTGTGCTCCACTAACCTAGTAATACATCATGCGCAGAGCTGTGCAGAAGTGCGCACCACTGACCTAGTAATGCACCGTGTGCAGAGCTGTGCAGAAGTGTGCACCACTAACCTAGTAATGCACTGTGTGCAGAGCTGTGCAGTAGTGTGGTTATGCTCACTGACAGAGCAGGACCTGTGACAGTTCTTAACTCTGAGCACCTGTTCCTGCCTCACCACCTGCCAGGTATTACGCTCTGCATGTATCATTCAGGCACAATATTGCATGCAAGACTAAGATTAAACTCAGCTGCTATATGCTTGTCTTTTATTACTATTTTCTTATTCACTTTGAGTCATTATTTTCATGACTGATGTGCAGAATTTTCTTTTAAATCTAAACTATGTAGAAAAATCTGTCTCAGAAATATCTGTCAACATGGCGATTACTATACTTACAGCCTTGCCACAATTAATAACTACATTTAAATTTTTCACTTTTTATATATTTCTGAATTGTTGAGTGTTGTTTGTTCCTGAATTTTCCTTTGTTATTTGTTCCTTTAGCTTCTTTAGCATTATTTGAAGTTGGTGAGTCGTGATTAACGTAGGATGTCAGCAGCATAAGATGCCAGCAGCGTAGGATGATTAATAAATTAAGGATTCCTGTGTGAGATTTGTTTGATGGTGCGCAGATGCAGGCACCCGCAGCCCCTCCCCCAGCGACTCGTCCTCACAGTCATCAGAGTCACAAGAAGGTCTAGGGCTGCTGTCTCTGCACCAATACCAGGCCTTGTGTGGCACCCCTCAGGACTCCCCACAACTCAACTACTCCACCCTGCCTCCTGACCACATCATTGCTGGCATGAAGGTATCTTTGTCTTGCTGCATTTATTGGGTGATATATTTTCTGGAGTGGATAATGAAAGATCCAATCATTCATTGCTTCGTCTTTCAGTGTTTGCAGTATTTTGATGCATTGGGGAATCAGCTTTGTAAGAAATTAATTGTTTGTTTTTGGTTTGAGTTAACTACTTTGTGTTTCAACTACTACTACTAACGTTTGTGGGCTTCTGACAGTGTGCTCCTCTAGACCCACTTAACGCAATGCTGGTGGCGGGTAAGGAGGATCTTGCCACCGCCCAAAACCTCAACAAAAAGGTGAGGTGCTGAGCCTTTGTACCAAAGCTCAACTTCATGCACTAACTTTTTCCAATGCTGAACTTTTGTTAAAAGATCTTCCAAAATTTAAAACAATTTTATTCCCGATAATGCATTGACCAGTTCCATTTTAACACTTTTTTCTTATTCATCGATCAAAGTATTGAAATTTCCAGTTGCGTTGTTCTGCCTTACTTATGCATGGATTCATGCAATTTAATTTTATTGAGTCTTATCAAGTTATCATTACAAGCAGAGTTTGTAATCTACTGTACAAGTATTTATTTAATTGTTATGTGCATTCATATCTATTTTTTTACTTTTTTTTCAAATTTGCCCTGCTTTTCCTGTATTGTAGCAACTTTCTATCTATTAAGTCTACGTTCAAATTGATTCCCTAACATTGCTGTAGCTTTCAGTGGTATGAGGACCTTTCTATCTCTCTATCTTTTCCTGTATCTTCTTCCTTTTTTGTAAGCGAATTGTGATTTTCCATATTTTAGAACTATTTTTGATATTGTAACTAACATTGTTTTTCTGTGGCAGAGGTACGAGGGCCGCTGCCTTGTGGGCGACATCAATATCGACGCTCGCTACCGGGACGCCTTCTACGTTAAGTGGAACTGGACGAAGATACGCCAGACGTGCGCCCTCGCCTACCTCGCCCTCCTGCTCGCCCTCTTCGTCATGGGCATCGCCCTGCTAGTGCAGGTGCTGTGCCTTACACTACCGTTTGCCTCTTACTCCACCACCTTGTGGCCTCCCTGCTAGTGCTATTAACCCCCCCCCCCTTTCTTTTCCTGCTATTTACCCCTTTCTTCTTTTCCACAAGGGCAGAACTGCGACCCAGTGCAGCAGTGGTGGCAAGGTGCCGAGGCGCCATCAGCTACCAATTTTCCCCAACATTAACCTCCATCCCTCCCTCCCCAGATGCCGCAGGGGCATGACTGCGACCCGGTGCGGCAGTGGTGGCAGGGCGCCGTCAGCTACCAGGTGCTGGTGCCCTCCTTCAAGGACACTAACGACGACGGCGTCGGCGACCTCCAGGGCGTCGTGGCCAAGCTCGACTACATCGAGGTCACTGATGTCGAGAATTGATTTTTTTTAAATAATTTTTGTTTCGGAAGCTGTGTTTTTATATGTTTTTATTGAGCTGTCTCGAGTGTGCATTGGGAGGATCCTTTCTTGTAATTTAATGTGTTTTACGGAATATTATGATGATACTGAAATGATTAGCATATCTGTATGGATTGATTGGATTATCTTAAGTGATTATGCCCGTAATTCTAAAATTGAGCTTTTAATTAAGAAATGAACTCATGTGTGTGTGTATATTTTGGCTTTAAACCGTAAGGTTGTTCCTCATTTATTATAATTTGGTGCTTTCTGCAGGACATTAAGATGATACTCAAATGATTAACTAGTTTCTCTCTTGCGGACTATTGATCTTTTCTGAACTTCGGGGGCTTTTTTAAATTTCATCTATCTATCTGGAGCATTTTATTCTCAAAATTATTATGCACCAAATTTTGGAACTTGGATCAAACCTGTCCCAAATTTGGTACACCTGAAAATATAAAAATTTTTATTTGTTTTGGTCAGAAGTGCAAAATTCATTGTGAAATAGAACCATTTTGGCTATATATAATACACCCCCAGGGTCTGGGAGACGCCGTGGTTTGCCGAGTGTCTAACATTCACCTCCTCCCCCAGGGTCTGGGGGTCTCCATGGTGCGGCTGGTGCCGGTATTTGAGCGCGCTGAGGGCCACTACGAGCGGCTGTTGCTCCCTCAGGACCCTGAGCCTCAGCTTCCTCACCCAGCGCCTGGTCTCTCATATGTTTACACTTGTTCATTTCTCTTGTATTTGCTTTGTCTTGTGTCATTTCCCTTAATCACGAAGTAAACTTCTAAGGACGTGTACTCATTCATCGCTTTCTCTCAAAATGTTGGTGGAATGTTTGTGCATACTCTTGTTATTTTCGTTTTCATCCTATAGTGTTAACCTATTTTGTTCTTTTCTGTATTTTTGTTGGATTGGATGACAATCAAGGACATTGCATCAATGTTCTTGTTGTACCCATAGTAGTATTAAGTACTTCATAGTGTTTATTATGCTTGCTTCTTTTATACCATCAAATTTTATCAAACTAGAAGCCCAGATCAAGCTTGAAAACGAACTTTGCGAAGCCTCACACGGCTTACAATTTCATCAATACAAGACAGGCCTTTTCTAACCGCATAAAGCATACCGTAAAATGGGGTTACTTTGACTCCCGGGGTAACTTTGACCACTTTTCGTTTTTTTAACAAAAACCCCCGAAACTCAAGAACTATTTGACATAGAAAAATTTTGTCAATGGCCAATAAAGGCCTAATAATGAGGCTACGTAACACAATAGAAAGATTTAAGAAGTTTGCATATCTAATAGGTTAAAAAATTGAAATGTGACCCACGAAAATGAGCTATTATTTAAAGCCTGTCAGAGTACCCCCTCCAATTTTTTTATATTTTAGTAAAATAACTCCAGGTTTTGATGCATTGTAGTAGAACTCTTTTAGTTACATATGCAAATGACAAATTTTAGGAAAGTGTCATAGTTTGCAAATGGAGGGCGCCGCCCCCAATGGGGGAACTTTGACCACCTAATGTAAGACATGACGGGGTAACATTGACCGGCTTGGAAATTTAGTTAAAATTACCATAGGTACCTACATAACATATTTTATGTTTGATACACCTATTAATGTTATTTCTTTATGTTTCAGACTCTACAGAGTCTTATATATGTTAATTTTAACTTAATTTCCAAGCCGGTCAATGTTACCCCGTCACAGCTGTCATTAGGTGGTCACATTTCCCTCATTATGGGGTGGTGCCCCCCATTTGCAAACTATGACACTTTCCTAAAATTTGTCATTTGCATATGTAACTAGAAGAGTTCTACTACAATGCACCAAAACCTGGAGCTATTTGGAGTTATTTTACCAAAAAATATAATTGATTTTACCACCCAGTCAAAGAAACCCCAAGAGCTGGGGTAACAAAGACCATCACTTTTTTTTAAATTACATCAAAACTATGAGAGGCAGGAGCCAGCAATTTATGGTGAGTGAAGCTAGAGTATAGACCTGTATTTTGCATGTTTCAATTTAAGTTTAACTTATCTAGTAAAAAAATGACATCATTTTGAAAAAAAGTGGTCAAAGTTACCCCATTTTACGGTACTACATGCTGCATTCGACGTGCCCACAAACTCTGTTTCTATTGCATAATAATTTCAAATTAAATAATGTCAGCGTCTCTGAGCTTACCTGATCCTCAAAGTTCTCATAAATTAATATTCAATATCATAATAATATAAAGTCATTGTTGAATTGTCAACGCTGTATTCAGATAAGTGATGTCTCAGGACTTTTCAGCACATTTTCTCATTTATGAAAAAATGCACTACTGTGCTCGCCATGTCCGTCTGTCTGTCCGTGACTTCACGTTTTCGTCGACGAGAAAATGCACTCCGTCACTCACTGCAGTGAGTACTGAGTTATATTTTATCTGCTGTGCAGAGGTGGTATGGAACCTGACGCGCGTGCACGGCGCCCTGGGCAGCAGCAGCGACGTGCAGCTGCTGGCGGCGCTGCTGCACGTCAGGGGCATGAAGCTCCTGCTCGACCTGCCCCTCAGCCTCGGCCTCAACACGCAGCACCTCGTCGTCCCCGGTCAATACTGCATGGAGTTCTTCCTGGTGGAGACTAGCGTATTTCCAGGATTGCGGGGATTGAAACTAACATATTCTAAAGACTGGCGAAGTTATTAGTTGCCTTGCATCGTTGGCGTACACTGCAGCTTGATGAGCAATGATTGCGCTTTATTTAATTAAGGACAGCATCTCTGGCAATCAATTACTGTCTCAAAGACAATAGTGAAGCAGCATTTGCCAGATAATATCTGCAATGTTAGATTTTTATTCATTTTCCTTTAGCCGAGGGCCTTAAATTCTGAACATTCTAGTTTATTGGCTCATTACTCATTAGTTTAGTAATTCCTAAAATGAAGATGATTGTTAACATTAACGGGAGTTGCTCTTCTTTCAGACATCTACTATGCACTACCATATCTGTACAACTTCTGTTACCATTTAACAACTTCCCCTACCATATAGCAACTTACCTTACCCTTTCACAACTTCCCTTACCATTCAACAACTTCCCTTGCCATTCAACAACTTCCCTTACCATTCAACAACTTCCCTTACCATTCAACAACTTCCCTTACCATTCAACAACTTCTCTTACCATTTCACAACTTCCCTTACCATTTAAATCTTCCGTTACCATATACTTATTGCAGTTCTCAGATGCTACCAATATGCTACGAAAGTGGATTTAGATTGAAATTAAAATTTGTATTCCATCTTAATTTTCAATTTATTGTAGAAATTTTATATCACACCGATTTTGTATGTATATCTTCATTGATATTTCAGGCGTCCTACCTTTTGTATCGGCATTTACGTTTTCATTTTCATTCAATCTTTATATCTTCATACTGTTTGAATCGCTAACTTTTTTACTTCAATTATCCTTTTCTATTTGTTTTCACCTTTTAAATCGCAATACTTCTCTTAGGAGTGAATGAATGAATGATATTATTGTATTTTTGGCGCATTTTCTCGTTAATGAAAAAAATGCCCTATTGTGCTCGTCATGTCCGTTCGTCCGTCTGTCCGTGACTTCACGTTTTCGTCGATTTTGAGAAAATGCGCTCTCTGTCACTCACTGCAGTGAGTACTGAGTTATATTTTTTTCATTCGGACACATTTACTTGTCTCTTAATATTACTATAAGCTTGAATGTCTGAATTATATTGTATCATAATATTGAATTATATTGTATTATAATATTGAATTATATTGTATTGATCAGGAGTGACGGCGACCTGGCCGCCCCCGGAGCGCGTGTCCGTGTCCGCAGCCCTGGCTGAGGCGCGACGTGCGCTGCCGTATTGGCTTCGTCTCGGCGTCGACGGCTTCGTCTTCCCTGACCTGCATGAGCTCGTGTCCGAACACTCGGCCCACCTGGTTAGTTGTGTGCACAATATAATGCGAGATAAATTATGTTGAGGTATTCAAACTTTGTGGTGTGCTAGAACTGCAAGCTGAGTTAGCGCGTCATCAATGATTTGGAAATAACAAGAATGTATCGTGAGGATTATTCCTTTGATTCTAGCTCCTATGTATTGACAGGTTTTCTATAATTGTCTTCTATTATAGTTTTCGATAGAGTATCAACAGGCGATTCTATCCACGAATAAATGTTTAATAATCTGTAGTAAAAATTTAGTTATAAGTAGATATCAAGAAACAAAACACATGAAAGACTCTAAATGAGTTGAGTCCCTGCAGGTGGTGGATGCCGTGGCTGAGTGGCGGCAGCTGTTGGATGTGTCGCCCCGTCGTGGCCAGGACCGCATCCTAGTCCTGACATCCAAACTCATCCACTCCCTACCTGGTGGCAGCCCTGCGCCTCACTCTTCCTCGCACTCGCTAGCTCCTGAGGATGATTTCCTGGGGGACTTGGTGAGATCTTCTCTAATAACTTTGCATTTATTTAGTAAAATAATATAATAGCGTTTTCAGCGTTCATTATGCCGTTAGACTTGTTGCCGATTCTTATCATCTCAGAGCATTCACGGGCTTGTTGCGGTCTCGAACACGCAACTCACTGATCCGATTCTGCAGTGCTTAACCGCCCGGCCTCCTTGCCGATTCTGACCAGAAACTGGCGCACAGAGCTGGGTTCGAACCCTCACCTCTCTGCGCCAATCTTGGTACTCTGAACTGTAGCCACTCGGCCACTCTGCCCAGTATACATTTGTGTGATTATATTTTTATCGTTAAAGATATTTATCCTATGCGTTCCACATATTAGGCTGTTCGCCGAGCCAGTTTAGAAAACTTATGAAGGTTATCTTCCCTTCCTTGTAAGCTATAAGTAATTAAATTATGAATTTTTATTCGAGGCGTGGCGACAGGTTATGAACATTGACATGAACTTAAACACAGGCTGAAATGGAGCTAACTCATATTTTACGCTAAAGCTCTTTGAACTATATTCAGCAATATGAACAATATATTAGGTAACAATTCCCCCCCCGTGCCATCTCGCCCTTGTCGTGGGGGGGGGGGGGGTGCGTGTCTCGATGAGACCCGAGGCTGTGCGGTCTCAGATGCAATCACGGCCGAGTGGCACGGGTGGAGAGTCCAGACTAACAGATATGGCAAAACGCCCTTCTTGTAACGACCTGGCTCTCTTTCGGATACGCAAAGACCTTTCGCTGGATTTGACGAACCCTGGCGGGGACCTAGACCCGACCCGCCAGCTTTAATAGTCACGTGTGGCAAGGGTTAGCCGAGGGACTCCCTGGCAGGCGGGGGGCTGTTTAAACGTCGCGCAGATGGAGTGGCGCCCATCTTGCAACACTAGTCAAGCGCACAACCTGCTGAGCTCGGGACAATCGGAGCTATATTCGAGCGTATGAGTGGTCCCGTCGGGACTGCGTGTGCCCGACAGCAGGGATCCCCTTGTTGGAGGCCATTAAATTGGGTGCCTGCTCAGCGTATTGGATGAAGGCAAAACATCTTGAAAACGGAAATGAACTCTTTGAATGCGCCTCCTGTACTCGATACCCAAACAACAACGGAAACGACCCGGACCCTCACTACGGAATCAACCACGACTTCTCCTACCTCCAAAACGACAGAGCTGCCCTCCTCGACCCTTACGAGCCGGAGGACCGAGCAGGATGTCGGATATAAAGACCTTACAATGCAACCATATATACCGAGCAGAGAGGAAGAATATAACAGAAACCACGGACAGACTGTAAGACCCAAACCAAGGAATAACCGCCTTCACTGGAGACCCAGTCTTTCGGACGAAAACCCAAATGAACCGCAACCCTCTGGACTTCCCCAAAAACAGTACAATAAATTCTATACGATATCTGCTAACAACGGCTGCCACCTGTCTAGCATAGATGTAATAGCAGCTAACCGAGAAATAGAAAATACGCTGAAAGGCAAACCAACGAAGATCAACGAAACCAGAAGTGGAACACTTCTGGTCGAAGTTACAAACTACCAACAGAGTAGAACTATTACGACTATAAAGTCCCTGGCCGGCGTACCAGTGACTGTTGCCGCTCACGAAAGGCTAAATGAGAGCCGCGGCACCATCTGGTACCCCAATCGACCAAACTACCCAGACGAAGACCTACTGGCTGAGCTGTCCCAATACGGAGTAAAAGCAGTGTACCGTATAAAAAGGAGGGAGCATGGAGTATTAGTACCAACCCCGGTATATGTCCTAACTTTCGACGGCTGTCACCTCCCGGGGCACGTTGCGGTTGGCTGGACGCGGTGCCAAGTGCGACAATACATACCTAAGCCGCGCAGGTGCTTCAAGTGCCAAGTTTTTGGACATGGTGCTTGGTCCTGTCGCCAGCAGACCGGCACGTGCGTCAACTGTGCGCGGGAACAACACGACTCCCATGCACGTATCCCGCCAAGTGCTCCAACTGCAAACGAAAACACCCTGACAGCTCTAACACATGCCAATTCTACAAGATGGAAGAAGAAATAATTGCAACACAAATGAGACAAAAGATGAGCTATGGAGAGGCCAAGCGGGCGGTCATGAGCCGATACGTCACCCCCCGGATCTCCTTCGCTGAGGCTACCCGACTTCCAGCAGGCCCGGGAACAGAGCCCGGAACCCGGAAAAACAACCCCAAACAACATGCACCCAGGATAAGTAGATCAGACGGATCAACTCAGACGCTTGCAGAAGATACAGAAAAACTACAACAACCAGCCGAAGCTTCTACAACTAAACAAGATAATACTCATTCTAATAAAACTAACACCCGCCCAAATGTGACAGCCAAACCACCACTGAAAGAATCATCAACAACTAATACCCAACGAAAGCGACAACAAAGCAGCACCTCCCCACCAACTGAAGCCCCCCAGGCCAAAACTATCAAAATACATCCCGTAACCCTGCACAGCGCTGGCGTACATCGGCCGTCAGAACCCTCAGAAACTGGACATAAAAGGGAAAAGATCAGAAGACTGGGCGATACAAGCGCTGCTTATAGAGTTCGCTCCCTGGAACGTGTAACCAAAGTTCCCGAGTTAAGCAGCGACATACTTGGCAAATTCCCCATTCCACCGCACTTTGCTCTGGCCCCGCCTCCTCCCCCTAGGGTGGAGGTGCGCACGTGGAACATGAAGACTGGAGACCAGAAAACAACAGAAAGAAATCCTGACCCCCCAAGAATAACAACAAACCCTAAGTCCCCCCAACCAGGAGGGGATCCACGAAAGGACCATCGAAGTAGACATGGCGCAGACGCTCATTCAATGGAATAGCCGGGGATACCGTCGCAACTATAGCGACCTCCGGGCAATCCTCCAGGAACCTTAATCTACGGACATCATTCCTACTAATTACTTGTCCTCCATCTCCTCTGACTGTCCTTGAGCAGCCGGTGTTGTCTTGGCAGCTTGGAAGTGATTGACCTGATTTTCCTTGCCTTTCCGCCTGATTTTCTCCTGCCACTTCTTGCGAAAAACCGCCCTCTCTAAGGGGGTGGAATCTTTCTTTACAAAAACTGACTTGTAATCAGCGGATTCACCAAGCTTTCTCGCTGTTTTCAGCACGCTCCAGACCTGAGCAGAATCCTTTACAGTCACCAGCAGATGTCTGAAGGTGTTGCCCGCAGTATCTTTCGAGCGTAGCCTCTTGCAAGATATAACATCAATCGATGTGTTGAGTACCTTGCTGCAACAGTCTACAACAAAGGCCGAGTCATCCATCACTCGGTCCTTCGCATCAGATGCGTTACTTTCAGGAATCCCAAACCAGACCAGGTTGGCCTTCCTACGTTCTCTATCAAGCAATTCATGTGAGCTGTAATTTGCGACTTCTGATAAATCAGAAACTTCTGATTAGATTAGATAGATTACCTTCAAATACCTTCTGATTAGATAGATTACCTTCAAAGCGGCGCAATTAGAGCTTTCCCGCCATTTTTGGACACGCAAATTTACCGCTTGATGAAATAATCCCAATCTAATTGTTAACATTTAACAACAGTGTTTAGTACAATATAAGCACAAGAGTGATGATCCTTGATTGATTACTGATCAGTGATGATATGGCCTAGGACGAGTGTGGTTGTCGAACCGATCTTTGCGACGCAAGCTCCATTTTTGTTAGGTGGGTTTGAATTCTAGTTTACCACTTACCTATAACTTATTGGAGTGCCATGCAATATTTCACTGATCTTGAAAATCATCATCCATTCATAGAACTGGCTGCCTACTGCATCACTTGTCTACTTTGACCTGTCTCCAATGCATTCATGGAGCGAATGTTTTCACAAGTCAGCTATGTGAAAAACAAGCAACGAAATAAAATTTCAACTAAGGTACTAGAGTCCGTTATTTAGACCAAAAGCTATCTGCTCAGCCACAACAAGTGATCACACCCGAAATGTTAGATAAATGCAATATGCAATCAATAACCAAGCATGTACGAAAATAAGCGAAATGAAGATGACCAGTTTTTGTGGCTTGCTTATGTTGAGCGAAGGGGGAGAAGTGCGACACTGTGATAGAAAAAGGAAAAAGTGACAATGTAGGTAATCAAACACAGGAAAAAAAAGTGTCAAAATGTTCCAAACAGAGGGAAAAATATAACGTGTTCAATTTGGCTAATTATTGTCAAGCTAGATATCGGCGAAGTGCATAAGATCTAGCCAAAGTACATAAGATAATTTTTGTTTTTATAACCAACATTTCTGGCGAATAATTTCATTTAATTTGGAGGTATTAGTGTGTTTTTGAACAATAGAATTTCTGGTATTGAGCTAGGCAATCTGGTATTCTCACCAAGAAAAAAACCTGGCAACTCTGGGCCAGTGTAGCTGACAGTAGCTCTTGCGTGTCAATCTGGATGTAACAGTGGTAGGTATGAGCGGGAGCGCAGCCGTGCACCACCAATTTTGTGCACCAATAAATAACGCCTTGGATCTCTCCAGACATCCACCAATTAGCCGTGCACCACTCGGCTTTGTCCTCTTCCGACCTTGACCACCACCTGCCGTGCACCACCAGGCTGCGGATCGAATCTGACTTCCATGCATCGTTAAATTACGTAATTTTACGTTCACCGCATCTGAGGTTAGGTTTCAGATAGCATAGTTCTGTTCCAAAATTTATCGTCCTTCGACAAGTGGCCATTCGACCGCGGGCTGGTCGACCCATGGCCTAGATACGGACGGCTTGAAGTGTTGAAGGCTACGTTCCGGAAGGCAGGAATCATGATGGTCCATTACATCCAGGGCAGTAGTGATCTTTGGCAGGCGACCCGTACCCGTATGAGCTGGTTGTCCAGCTTGTCCTGACGCCTGACGTATCTCGTAACGAAATGGTGCTTAACTCGTTTCGTGTTCTGCCTTTTGATTGCTAATATCTTCCATGAAGTGCATTGTTACAATGTAAATTCTTTTGTGTCTGGTGTCACAATAATCACCAATCAGGCAGGCTGAGGCGGCCCAGGCCAAGGGCGCAAAAATTCGCCCAAGGCACCGCTTGACTTTCTTCAAACGTCTGAAACTTCAAGCCATAGTATTTTGTCCCAGCCCCCAGGCATCCAATGCCAATCCTAGTAAACGCTTAAAAATCAACTACAAAAAAAAAAAAAAAAAACTTAGAGAAGTCACACCCACAAGCGCACGAATTTACCTTAATCTGGCCAAAAATCTACCTAATTGGTCTCACTCAGTCTACCTGCCAGGCTGCCAAATTGTCCTCACCAGTACGGATGCTCAACAGCACAAGTAAAACTAACACGATCATGTCTGAACCCATTCAACCCATACCCATTTAGAATTTTTGAAGACTCAAAGCAATGGACTCACTGTGTGGGCCAGTTACCCAGTTCAAACTTCAAAGTATATAACATCAGTGCTCAGGTGCCTTGCTTTGCTAATAAATACCAAGAGTCCAAGACCTTAGAGCAGGTGCATGCCTTGCTTTCAGTCTCATCTGTGAGAGTTGGAATTGGAAATGACACAGGGTTAAGGGGAGCGTCTGGCCTCCAGAAAAACTTTTTTATTTACGGACGGATCACTTTGAAACTTGGTACACATATGTAAAACAAAAATCTAAGACTTTTTTGTTCAAGTCAATTTACCAAAAAAATTGAAAGAAAACATGAAATTCATAGAAAACGGCAAAAAAAGGGGGTCCTCAAGAAATCTATCTCCTCCTAGGATTTTCAAGCTACAACATTGAGACACATATCATTCAATGCGTAAAGACAATATCTATAAAAGTGTGTTTGGGTTTTTGAAATTCTAATTTTTGTGGATGTGGGGTCATTTTTCGCAAAATTTTCGTCAAATTTTTTAGTCATCCCCCTTTCCGCCCTCCTTTTTGCTGAATATCTACCAAACTATAACGAAATAACAAAAACCCAAACACAGTTTTGTAGATCTCTTCTTTGCAAATCGAATGGTATATCTCTCAATGCTGTAGCTTGAAAACTGTAGGAGGAGATAGGTTTTCCGTGACAATAAGTGACCCGCCCCCCTTTCATGAAATGTCGTGAAATCATAAATCAACGTAGAGAGATGGCAGTGGTACCGTTGGATAGGGCAGAATGTCAGCTTTAAGGTGAGACTAAAAACCGGAAAAGCCAAAATTGTCGATTTTGGACCCAGACGCTCCCCTTAAATAGTAATAGGGTAATCGTCAGTTCGTCACTACTCACTGGTCTATCTAACATACATTTTAAACATAACCATACTCAACACTGCAAGGGAATGTCAGCTCAATCTTTGCTTGCATACCACATTTGCAAAAACTATTAGCTGACCTCAGCCTAGATGTTCTGTGCTTGCAAGAAACTTTCCTAGCTCCAAACACACAATGCAATTGCAATGCAATGTAGGAGGATACCAGATTGCCAGATCCCAAATCCCAAAGGTGTGCTGTAGTGTAACCGGACATGCAATAGTCAGTACAGCAGTAGGGGGGCTGGGGCTCAGCATAGTGATTAGTGACAAACCAGAGATTTTTTGGAATCAGTTCATTTTTAATTTCCTCACTTACTCAAGATTTAAACCACTTCCTTATGTATGATAATGCTGGTATCCAGGATACTTTGCTGGTCTACTTATAGGACTCAAAAATGAACTTGAAGGGAGTCTAAAAAACTCTCTGCTTTGCCACTATTGCTGGGGGCGGCTAGCAGTCCACTCCACTCCACAATATCATACACTAATCTTCCCGTAGCCTCCACTCGCAAGTCAACTATACCTACCTTAGGGCCTAAGGTAGGTATAGTATAGGCTTAGGCTACCTATATTTACAGTTATTGTGCGCTCTTTATCTCTCCCCTCACCTGCCAATAATGTACCAATAACCAAACTCCTGCTTATCATTTCTTAGCTCCCCAAACTATTCATCATCTGCTGTGACTCAAATGCTCACCACCCACATGGGGATCCACTCCCTCAAATCCACCTGGCACCCTACTTCACAAGTGGCTTCATGAATCAAATCTCTTTCTCCTAAACACCACTGAACAAACCAACCTACTTCTTATCTGCTGGCAACTTCAGCCACATTGACCTCAGCATCACTGCCCAGCCCGTGACATAGCTCTTCACAGCACTTGGACTCTGCATCGCAAACTGTGCACCAATCGCCACTTTTCACCAGTGCTATCCACCCTCACAAAGCCATACGTACACAAACACAACTTGCTGGCAGCTTAGCTCTGCCATCTGGTTCCAATTTTTAGCTTCCTTAACCTCCCCAGCTGCCTCCTCTCCCCTTCACAGGCATGTGGCATTGTTGTCACCTCTGCCCTAAATGCCACCACTTCAGATCACAATTTACAATCAGTATGGCTAATGCATAATGTTCAGCATGGATGTATGTGCATTATAATTGTTATAAGTAGAGGTGATGTTTTAAGTTATCACTTATCGTAACCAGCAGGACTGTAGGAGATATGTGCAGTGATGGTGTTGCATGCTGGTGCAGAAAACCATCTACCTTTTGGGAGGCAACTAAAGCTTTTGCACCATTTTCAGAACTACAAGTTTCCTGCTAGATAAATTACCTCCTATCTAATTGTCAACAAGAAAGCATGATTGGGCTGCAAAATTCTAAACTTAGTGAAAATTTGTCACTTAAGAGCTGCAAAATTTCTGTAACAGGTATAAAAATTTCAACCCTGCCTGTGAGGATGGACAGCTCACAGAGTCACAGTCAACTAGTTGGTCAATTTTCTCTCTCTCTCTCTCTCTATCTGCATTCTTGTCACGAGCTGTTTGATTGTTCAATGTATGTTTCAATTTATGTTTCATTGTTCAATTTAGTTCATGTATGCTTATGTCAACAGTTAATTAGATCATGATTCATCTAGCAGGAATCTCATGACTCCAAAACTGACAGGAAAGTTCTAGTCATGTCTCAGAAATCATATGTCTGCTTGAAGAATTATATGATTAGAATTATATCTTTAGCAGATATAAATATGTGAATTATATATGCTTGAAGAATTGATAGGCTTAGAAACCATACAACCAATGAAAAAAATTGATGATAGAATTTGAAAGTCATTCACCATCAATGAATATGTACCTATGCATAGAGCCATAGAATAGTAGTTGCTGCAGATTTAGAATTTTACACTATGCTGCCAGGTGTATTCTAAATGCACATTGCACTAGCTTTTTGGGAGCTGGAAAATATTGATCAGCTTCTTGGGAAATCAAATTCGCTTTTCTGATGATTTGATTGGGCTTAATTAGAAGAGTTGGCAACATGGGAATTCCAGACATTTAATTTTATAATTCGTATCTATTTAAATATGAAATTGTAATACTTTTTGACAGATGGCTGAGAATGAAGATCTTCCATATCTACAGCTTTCTGAAAATCCAGTTCGCTTTGAGCCTGTCAGTCGGGTGACCAATGTCTTCTTTGATGGCACAACTAAAGAGGTAAAGAGTATCATGTTTATGCTATTTATATTATTTATGAGGAAATCAAAGTTATTTCCATAAATCTCTATAAAAATCTGATAATTTTATTATTTACTTGGTGTAATAATAATAAAAAAATGTGTAATAATAACCAATGAATTAAGTTTAATTAAATTTTTTGTTTGTTTACAGGTGGTGAGTGTGCGTGGTGGTGGAACATTGGGTGTTGTGGTCCAAGGTTTGCACACTAAAGAAGCTTTTTGTATGGAGGATCGTGGCACCATCACCAGTCTGAAATTTGCTCCTAACCACTCACGACTTGCAGTTCAGAGAACCCCTAATTCTCTTGTACGTTATTTACCAATTAGAGCTTTAAGCTCCAAGAATGCTTTATCCTTTTTCCTATGGAATAATTTGATTAGTTGTAAAGATATGAAAATAAAAAGTTCTTATCCTTGAATTTGTAAAATGTGATAGGTAAGAATTATACGTACATTAACAAAAGTACAGTAGATCAAGACCTCCAAGAAAAAATATTTATATAGGTAGGTACTTCTTGAATTATTATTATGTCTTAGAGACTTTAGAGAATCAATTGGTACAATAATTTGTTATATTTCTCAAAATAAAAATTACCTATTTACAAGAAAATATATCTTTTAAAATGATTATTTTTATGTATGCTCCTTGTAGATTTGCAATGTGTATTATGTTCTGATTCCTGATGAAATAATTACATTTCCCTTTCAGGAACTACTGCCATTCAATGCTGGAGAAGTTGGGTCTGGTGTTGTGGTGGAATGTAAAACTAAAAGTGCATCCCTCCTGGGCTTTGTCTGGGCTGACAATGATGATCTTGTGCTGGTCACAAGTCATGGCATTGAATTCTATCATGTGAGTAAAACTTTAAACTGTGAAGTCTGGTGCAAATACTATTAATGTGAAATATATAAAATAAGTGAATGATTATTCTGTCACTGCAGAGACTCATGAACTTCTGTTGGCATAATATATTCACCCTATTGCCAAAACAGGTGTTTCTGGCATTTTGCTTGTTTATTGGTGTTGTCAATACCCTGCAGGTTGTAATCAATCCTTTCTGGTATGCAAGTATCGCGCCTGTGGCTACCATACTGTTCTATTTCCATCTATAGCTCCAGCTTGGTGTACTGTTGTTCATATTGCCTGGGTGAGGGAGTTGAAAACTTGTAACTATTTATTATATTACGAAAGTTGTCGTGCAGGTGTCGCGTGAGCGGGTGTTCGTGCGGCTGGTTCGTAGCTACAGCGTGCCCGGCTGCTGCTGGTTCGTGTGGAGCGCAGAGTGCCACATGTTGGTTGTGGCGAGCAGCAGCGGCGCGACGGCGCCTGCTAAGGTGGCGCTGTTTCCCTTCCAGTTTGCTGCCAACTACTCCAATAAAATGCAGAAATGTGTAGGTCAGTCTAGAAGATTTTATCAGTTATGCTGACGGAATATTTCCTCAAGCTATTAATATGTACCTATATTATTCTAATATTTTTGCTAAAAGTAACTTGATCTTTATTGATATTTATGTATCTCTTTGTTTATGGTATGAGTTAGAATTATGGTCCATAGTTACAACTTACAAATTAGCTTGCTCTAACTAAAACTGCATTGGATCTTGAGACAAATGTTTTGACATAGAACTCATGCATAACAAAGCACACTGAATTAGTAATTATATTTAACTTGTAGACTTAAATATGCAAGCACACGATTGCTTCAATAATTTTTATTATAAATCTACTGTAATCTCAGTTAACCTGTATGAGAGCAGGCACCCATGCCAGATTTACTAATTTCAGGAATCTCCACGACTACTGAACTTAGATATTTGGGCACTTAATTTTATTAAAGATTTAATTCCATTTCAGTTGACCTGCATGACAGTGGGCTGAGCAGCAGCCGCGGTGGCCGGCCTCCCCCGTCGGCGGGTGACGGGGCACTGGAGCTGAGCGAGCGCGACGTGTGCGTGGCGTTTGTTTACAGACCCGCCATCTTGGTCCTGCGGCACCCACACGACCTCAACCACACGGCGCAGCTTCTTGTCTTTACCAACCTCAAGTTGGTTATAAATAATCTATATATGATTTCATAATTGTCACCGGACGCCTGCCGCAACTATTAAACTTGTCAGAATGATCAGAGCCCTTACGGCCAAACGCCGGTAACTACCTTGTAAAAAATTGAATTGCACTTCATTGCACTGAGATGTCCATTAAAAAATTATAGTCATGTCATGTTACTAATGTGAAACACACAAAACTCTAGTTAGTTTTTGATTCCAGGGTGCGTACCGGTCATGGAAAACCTGAAAAATCATGGAATTTGATTTTTCATTTTCTAGGCCTGGAAAGTCATTGAATTTCATTTCAGGTAATGGAAAGTCATGGAATTTGCAAATTAAAAAAGGAAGTGTTTTCCTGTGCTGCGTGTGTTTACTGTTTGTACAGTCTCTTGTTTCCTGCGTTCTGATTGGTTTCACGTGACCGTCGGGCACGTGATTGGAGAGCCAATCACGTGGGCTCGGTCACCGAGCTCAGTTGCATTCAACAATTTTTTTGATGTGCAGTGGGAGCGTTCCATCTTCAGCGTGCAATTTCCACATCACCATGCCTTCTAAGTGTAAATTTCATGACTTGTGGTTAAGAATGGAAGCTTATCGTGACTGGCCCCCCCGTGCCATCTCGCCCTTGTCGTGGGGGGGGGGCTTGCGTGTCTCGATGAGACCCGAGGCTGTGCGGTCTCAGATGCAATCATGGCCGAGTGGCTCGGGTGGAGAGTCCAGACTAACAGAGATGGCAAAACGCCCTTCTGGTAACGACCTGGCTCTCAAGAAGCCTGACCCTGCAATACGAATATCGGACCTTCGGCGCGAAATAGACTACCTGATCTGAAGCGCTAGAAACCTCTCCCTACTACTACTACTTATCGTGACTGGCTTGCTCGCCATCTAAAGCATAAAGGTGTGGCGATAATGTACATTGTGCTCGAAAGACTTCGATGTGTCAAATATGGGGGAAGTAGCTTTGATGAGCCATGCCAAAGGCAGTAAACAACCTTAGTATCCTTGGCATTTGTTTCGGACGTAGCAGTCCCAGGCCACGATGGACCGCCGCCTCTGATTATTGTTCATCCGCCCTCCTTTGTACCAGCTGATGCACGATGCTGTTGCTTGCTACTCGCCGCTGGTAGTGTTGCAGGGGAGGTCGATCTGGGATTGTGTCCAGGAAAACGTCCAGTTGTCTCTTGAAGGTCTCCAGGGTGAACTCCCTCTTCCAGGGTGAACTTCCCGCAGGAATTGAAATCTGACTGCAGATTTGTTACGTTGTGGGAGGATCTTGCACAGTCTCCCCCCTTCTCTCGTTGTGATATGTCTCAATCCTGAAGGTCTCGTTCTCCAAGTTTGGCGTCATTCCGGTTATCACTTTTCATGTGTACAGAATGACATACCTCACCCGTCTCCTCTGCAGTGAGTACAGAACCAGGCGCATCAACCTCTCTAAGTCAACAAGCGAACATCCGCGCATCAACAAGCAAACATCCTAATACAACACTACGCAAACATAAGTAGGTTACCCAAATACAAAGAAGACAGACGCATCATCAGACGCAAACAACAATTTCCACTAGACCCAACCTGTCTCTTATACACATCTAGATGTGTATAAGAGACAGTGGCCACGTGATGTGATGGCCACGTGATGTGATGGCCACGTGAGGTGATGGCCACGTGATGTGATGGCCACGTGAGGTGATGGCCACGTGATGTGATGGCCACGTGAGGTGATGGCCACGTGA